AAATGATGAAATTCACAATTCATGATACTGGGTCATAGGTTCTTGTGTTAGAGTTGACTGTGTGTAATCTGTAGTGAAAATGCATTATTTGTTTGAAACTCTTCTTTGCTCCTGGGCACATCAGGGGCAACCAGAGTAAATAGTTTTAATAAGCAAGGGTATTCTTACCAGATTATTGAATATCTGGAGCAATTTGCCATGTGTTCTAGTCCTGGCCAGGGCTCTATTAAAAAAATTTTATTCTACTTAGAGTTACTTAGAACTTAAATTACTCCCCCTCTGCCATTCACCTTGATAATGAATCAATGTAAAATAATGTATTTGATAGGTTAAAAGAATAAGAAAATTATGAAAGATTTTTTTATTGTATAATACAAAAAGTACTTTCAATAGTTTTAATAATCCGGTAGACTTGTAATTAATAGATAAATAAAATATGACAAAAATAACTTATCTTATTAAATGTTCTTCAAAGATTAAGAGAGGCCAATGTAAGAGGTAAGACATAACATGATAATTAATTATATGCACATATATATATCTGGATCTCCCATGATTTGTGGTTGGATATGATTTGTTTCCAACGAGTTGTTTGTTTTTTATTGCCGAGCCTTGGCAAGGGGATAAAAAAACACACACCGAGTTGGATAAAAATTATATCTATCTTCAAATCATGGGAGATATTTTTATCACATGTTTTTTACGTCATTATTTACCAACGTCTCTATATGAGTGAAACACTCTCGAATGGGACGTAAAACAACATACAATCATTATTTACCAATTATATGGAGATAACGAACAGTATTCAAGCTCAAAAGTCTATTAAACGATACAAAATAGGTGCAGAGCAAAAACGGACCTCCAAAACATCAGAGGTGGGATCAGGTGCCATGGAGGAGTGAACATCCCCTGCAGACCGGTCACACCCGCCGTGTGTTCCTTGTCATGACCGGGAAATAACGGAAAAATCCGTCACCACTTTCACACAAAACGCATTGTGACGTCAATGTATTTTCTATGTACAATTATCTGTTTAAAATCTTATATGATGACAATATGCAAAACATTTCCAGATAAATGTCGTAATATGGAGAGTAAAAGAAAATACAAACTATTTTATGAAATGTTACGTTATTTTAGGGAAGAATTTTCTTCTATGTTGTCAAATAATGTAATTGTCTGACATGCTTTTTTTGAATCGATCGCGGTCCCTCCTCTGCAATCCAAGAGTATTGAGTAAGAGGGTTGATCTTAACCATGATATCTGTAATAATTGGTGGTCGTCAACAAGATAGAATATACGGATACCTCCTAGCATTTTTATTGTAGCCTTAAAATTTTATTAAGATAATCATTAATACTTCTTAAAACATAAACACAGATAAAGCTTTTGTCTATTGCCGAAGGACAACAGCAGAAACATTCTTGTTGTGTTACTTTTTAGCGCTCATTTTTTTCAGTTCATCAACAAATGTATCAAATTTATCACATGCGACTTAATTTCCATGTTTTTAAATTCTATATATTGGGAAAATTTTGCCCCTTTCGCCCAAGACACACGTGGGCAAATTTAAGACAAGGGGAATTCAAAGAAATAAGTATAATTTCTTTAAAAAAAAAACCTTTGACTGGGTGAATTTAAAACGTTGTTTGCATGTGTAAAAGGGCCAGAATAATACGGCACGAAAATAACCCTGTATTCAGTAATATATACTGCAATATTGCTATGAGTTGCTTTCTTAAAATTATTATCATATTAAGGTCATTCCCATATTCATTCCGTTGTGCAAAGATCTTGTTATGCCCCCGGATCGAAAGATCCCGGGGGTATATTGTTTTTGTCCTGTCTGTCTGTTTGTCTGTTTGTCCGTTTGTCTGTTTGTCCGTTTGTCTGTTTGTCTGTCTGTTGTCAACTTTAACCTTGCCCATAACTTTTGATTGGTTGGAGCTATGACTTTCCATATTTCACATGTGTATTTCTTGTGACAAGACCTTTCTTTGGGTACCATCATATTTGACCTTTTGACCTTGACCTTGGAGTTTGACCCACTTTTGCAAAATTTTATGAGACTTTAATCTTGGCCATAACTTCTGAACAGTTGGTGCTTGGGGTTTCAAACTTCACATGTGTATTCTTTGTGACAAGGCCTTCCTCTGGATACCAACAACTTTGACCTTGACCTTGGAGTTTGACCTACTTTTGAAAAACTTTAACCTTGGCCATAACTTTTGAACAGTTGGTGCTTAGGGTTTCAAACTTCACATGTGTATTCCTTGTGACAAGACCTTCCTCTGGATATCGACCACTTTGACCCTTTGACCTTGACCTAGGAGTTTGACCTACTTTTGAAAAACTTTAACCTTGGCCATAACTTTTGAAGGGTTGGAGCTAGGGCTTTCATACTTCACATATGTAATCCTTGCGACAAGACCTTCCTTTGGATATCAACCACCACTTTGACCTTTTGACCTTGACCTAGGAGTTTGACCTACTTTTGGAAAACTTTAACTTTGGCCATAACTTTTCAATGGTTGATGCTAGGGCTTTCACACTTCACATATGTAATGCTTGTGACAAGACCTTCCTTTGGATACCAACCACTTTGACCCTTTGACCTTGACCTAGGAGTTTGACCTACTTTTGAAAAACTTTAACCTTGGCCATAACTTTTGAATGGTTGGTGCTAGGGCTTTCATACTTGACATATGTAATCCTTGTGACAAGATCTTCCTTTGGATACCAACCACTTTGACCTTGACCTTGACGTTTGACTTTTATTTAAAAAACTTTAACCTTCGCCATAACTTTTGAACAGTTGTATCTAGGTCTTTCAAATTTCACAGGTGTATTCCTCGAGACAAGACCTTTCTTTTGGTATCAACATTTTTTATATTTTGGCCTGGATTTTGACTTGCATTTGAAGAAACTTTAACCTTCGCCATAAGCTGCCATACGGGGGCATCAGTGTTTCACAAACACATCTTGTATATCGTTTGATTAAACAGTGAGTGACTATAACCCTGTCCAGATTTTTTTTCGTCTGTTGAAACGTTGAAAAAAAAAACCCTGATAAAACGCCAAGATCTGATTTCAGATAATCTTACTAAAACTATGAAATATAATAAAAATAAAATGCGAAGATAAAGAAAAGTGATCATTCTCAAAAGTGCATTTAAACAACTACAATCACGAGCAGAGCCAACACAGAACAGTTTGGATCAGGTGCCATAGGAAAGTAAGATTCTCTTGTCGACTGTTCTTCTTCTGGTCGGGTAAATGACAAAATCCATCAACTATACAGTTTAAAAATAATTGTATATTGCTACAAACATTTAATTAAACTTTACAGAAGGCTTGTAAAAGGATGAAAAGTTCTAAAAGGCCAAGGCAACCTTTAACGTCATTTGCTCTTCAATCAACGATAAACAAGATTCATGAACGATGGAATGCATATGGAATAAGACTATTGAAAAGTTAACATGATAGTAATAGCTAAAAATACACAAGGTGCACCGAAGCTGAAATCAAAAAGATGCTATAGTTTTTGATTGACAATATCTCAGTAGTTTTTGCAGTCTTTCAACAATCTTTTCCAATTTCAACAAGTTCTTACTGTGCCCCGTTATTATCAGACCTATTTTATTCATATGAAGCAGAATGTATTAAGATGTATCGACAAAATTCTATAAATTATTAATTTTTAGTTTCATCCATACCTTGTTTCGAAATATATCCCTTTGAACTCGAAATAGAAGATACCAGAGAGACTAATACATCTGTTTCATATTTAAATATTTTACTAGAAAGAGACATTCATGTCAAACTAACAACAAAACTTTATAATGAACGCGATGATTCTAACTTGACTACCGTCAACTTTTCTTATTTATATAGCAATCATATAACTTTATCACTTACCTATAGAGTTTATGTCTCCAAGCAGATTTGATACACAATAGGTCTAAGTAAAAATAATTTCTAAAACAAGACAAGCTTTTGGGAAATAGGCTTAAAAAACGAGTATATTAACGGTCCAATCCAAAGTCACCTTTTGGTAAATTCTTTGATCGATACAATGACCTTGTTATCAAATAGAATCTCTCGTTAAATCGAATGTTAGCTGATTTGTTTAAGTAAACTTCTAAGGCCATTATTTTGACACTGAATTGTCTACAATTTTTTTTTCCGTTTGACCATACATGTCAAAGAGCACACAGCAAATATGAATGGTCGACAGGGGATGCTTACTCCTACTTGGCACTGATCCCACCCCTGATGTTTTAAAGCTCCGTGTTTGCTCTGCTGAAAATAGATATCGTACCAATGGACTTCTGAGCTTGTTTACGACTATCTTTATATTTCATCAGAGGAATTCACTTTAGAGCAAGATGTAGTGTTAATAAATTAAAATATATGTAATAGATTAAATTGATTTGTGGACTAATTTCCAAAAATAACTACATTAAAGCGTCAGCAACTTGACTTGTGGCTATGTCTGTGCCTGTTTCTCTTCATATTTAAAAGTAAATTATATACATATATGTTTATCAATTTTTAATAGTCCCTTTGAAAGTCAACTTTTTGCAAATTCTATGGTCGATACAATGACCATGTCAGCAAATACAATCTATTGTTACATGGAATATTGACTGAAGTTTTTCATACATATTTTTAAGCCATTATCTTTACACTGATTTTTTTTTACGGATTTTTCTATTTGCCGGTAGTTAAAAAAAAAACATAACAGAATTTAAAAAAAAATCAATTCATATTGTTCCAATAGACTTTTGAGCTTAGTTACTGATTCTTTTCCTCATAGTTCATTTCAATTACAAGAAAAAATTTACCCATTTGCATTATTAGATTTTTTTAATTTGAAGCCCGTTACCGATATCCGATGAGGTCATATATGAGTGAATTAATAATCGTGCAAAGGACGTAAAACTACAAAATTAAGCTTAATTAATTAATCACTTAAAAAATGAGCACTTTAACAAATTGTTGATGTTATCTTTATTTCCTTAACGTTTAATTAACATTTCATAAACGTTTAATTAACATTTTGCTGCATGCTCATTCTCGGTGATTGGGATATAAATCACTCTCTGTTCCAAACTACAATAAAGAAAAGAAGAAAAAATATCTACTGTTTTTCATTGTTGAGGCCCTTTACATGAAATAAATCTTTTTTTTAGTTGAAATAAACATATAGAAAAAAGTTATACAGTCAAAATTCTAAAATTATTCCTTTTAATCTATTTACTTATAAGTAAGCTTATCTGTTTACAATACTGTAATTTTACTAACCGTAGGGACAGCACACACCGTAGGGCCTCCAAGGGCGGCTGAAGCAGCAAAATGATCTCTCTGGACAATGGTGGTGATATTGACAGGCTGTGTAACTAACAGGATGAAGTCCATATGGACATTCTCCTAGTTGGCCTTTAAAAAGGAAAGCAAGAGAAAATGATCACAATATATAAGGAATCATTTTTTATTATTGAAAAAACAAGACAAAACAAAACAATAGAAAGTAAAATAAAATGAAAAAACAGTTTTAAATTGATAAGACTTCCTATTTCAGAAATAGTTTGAATGAAATATAAAGATAACGAACAGTGTTCAATTCCGAAAGTTCAATGAAACGATACAAATTTGGAGCAAAAAATTTAGAGGTGGGATGAGGTGCCATGGAGGAGTGAGCATCCCCTGCCGACCGGTCACACCCGCCGTGTGTTCCTTGTCATGATCAGGGAAAAAAACCATAAAAATCTTTAGACAGTTCTGTGTATAAATAGTGGCCTAACAATTAGTATGAAAAACGTCAGTCAGCATTTGACTCAATGGTAGGTTGTATGTCCTGTCAAGTTCATTGTATCGACCATTAAACTTGCGAAAAGAAAATTTCAAATGAGACTATTGATGAAGCGTTCTTACATATATCAATTGGTTGTTTTGTTTTTAATGTAGAAATTCAAATAAAGAATCTTTTATTAAAAAACTTTTTAAAAATCTCTAAAGTTAAAGATTATCATGCGATTATAGATCGAACACGTCATAAAACTTTGTGAAAATTATATGTAGAACTAAACTTACCAAGGGCGCCGGCCAACAAGACAAGAAAGCTAAAAAGGATGATATTCTTATGCATCTTGAAATGTGCACGTTACTTGTCATGCAGTGTTCCATTTATATACCATTCCTTTTGATAGACAGTAAAATATTAAATAATTAATCTTCGTTTAAATCAAGACATAATTATTTCCTTAAGTTTGCAATTTGCTAAGTCACTATGTATTAACTCCCTGCACATGATCACGTTTTGTTTTTCTTCAGAAAAAAATGTCAGCAATTGGTCAATGTTATTAATTTTTATTCTATTCACATCATTTAAATGACTGTTTATGAAGAGGAATAATATTTATGATGCCCACATGATATTTATAGAAGTAAGTTCCAATTTTTATGTGAAGCAAGACACAAACACCCCACCAAATCACGATAATAACAATTTAAAAATGATTTAATTTATTTGATAATCTGTTTGCCATGAAATATTGTGGTAAAAAAAATCCTGTTTGGAAACCAAAAGCAGCTTTATGAATATGATATTGTGACCATTACTTTATACATGTATCAGAGTACATATGTATAATGCAATTTTAAATTGTATTAAAAAAAAATAAGAAAGAAGTTTATCTGAGTTTTTCGTTTTCAATTTTGGAATATTTTTGTCATTTAAATATATTGTTTGGAAATACAATTTATCAGTTGATGGAATTTTGTCTGAAATGACACATGAAGATAAGGAACAGTTACGAAGATCAGAAGTCTTGAAACAAAACAAACTGGGAAAAGCAAATAAGGACCTCTAAAAACATCAGAGGTGGGATCAGATGCCATAAAGACGTTAGAATCCCCTGGCTAACGGTCACACCCACTGTGGTATGCTCTTGTCATAATCGGGCAAACGGAAATTTCTTTTATGAAAAATCAATCAAAATTAGACTTCACTATAGATTATTCTCGAATGGAACGTAAATTAAAACTACATACAATCAATCAATCACAATAGATTGTATTTGCTTACAAAGTCATTGTATCGACCATAGTATCGATCATGGTATTGGCGAAAAGTTGATTTTAGATGAGACTGTTGTATCCTTGTACCATCAACTTATTTGTCAATAGCTTGTCTCGTTTAAGAAATTGTTTGGAAGTAGAGCATGTTTTTACCTATCGAATCAACTGGGAGACATAAACTGATAATGGTATATTACTACACAAATCTGGGAAGTTCAGGAGATAAAAGTTTAATTTATCACGTTTATAAAGTTTTGTTATAAGTTCACTGTCCATGTCTTCACACTTTTTCATTTATTATTAAAACCTGTCTTAAGTAAAAATCAAAATAAGAAACAAATATGTCAGACATTGTGGTGTCTTTCATTTCGAGTTCAAAGGCATATGGATTTTTAAAAAAAAAAAAAAAAAAATCTTTTTTCATTGAGAATGACAAGCTCACCATTAAATCACAAAAATCAAAACCAGTTTTAGCATGTAGATTTTGTCTATAATATGACCCGTGATCCACTGGACTCGAATATTCATCGGAAAGAAAGAAAAGATATGTAATGAACGAGTATATTCTAGGATAAATGGGCCACTTTGCCATATATTGTTTTGTAAAAAATCTGTATTTTTACATTAAGCAATATTCTTATTCACAAAGGCGTCTAATCTTGTATTTCTCCATTTCATGATGAAGTCTACACCATGTACTTCAAACTTTACAGTGCTAAGGTATCAAACATTTGAAACATAATTTTTCGACGTGTAAGTGCTCGTCTTCTCCCTACAGATATAGCCCTGCTGGTCATATTTACTCAGTTCCGGTGACATAAATTTATTTAATTTATTTAACAATGATAACCTTATATCACTTATTTCAATAGGGTCAACATCCAAGGGACACCGATCTTTCAACTGACGACAAATTTCCATCAATATTATCTAATTGTTAAATATAAGAAGACCTTCTCAAAATCTATAAGAATGATATGTGTAATATAGGAGCATACGGCGGGTGTGACCGATCGACAGGAAATACTTATTCCTACTTGGCACCTGATTCCAATTCTCAAGTTAATCACAGGTCCCTGCTTGCTCTGCTCCTGTATCTGAATTGTTTCAATAGACTTTTGAACTTAAATCGTGTTTGTTATCTTCATATTTCATGTTCAAATCTCGCAATAATCAGTTTATTTGTGATATGAAAACCTTATATCCTATATGCAAGAATTCAGAAGTAAAAAAAATGTAGATAGATTACACACACGAATATTTACAGTTCGCATTTGATAAAGCAGGGAACAACATAGTCTTTGTTTAGAAAGCTCATGATTACAATATAGCATTTAAGAGGAACTTGGGTTTAATTCTGTAAGTGGTAATCCAACTTACACTTATCGTTCCCTTTCTAAGGAGATGTCAGTTTTAAATATATTTAATATTCCCGATACCCTAATTGAATTTGAATTATCATACTTATACTTAATTCCTTAACTTCACAAAAAGCCTTACAAAGAGACATAGCGGGTTGTGGTATACGTTCTATCAAGCCTTATTCTATTTTTTCGCACAAAAATATTGAAAACTTTTCAACAATTTATAAAATGATTCCTCATGATAAATCCGTGTCACACTTCTTGACATCATAGATAAATTCTTCTGCTACTAAATTTGTATACCTTGTCATTGGTCAACCAAGTGGGTTTCAGAGACCATGTTTTTTACCAATCTATTGGAATTTCCCATGTGTACAAATTGTTCCCTGTTATTAAAAAACTGTATTTCTATGTATATAAAGTAGAATTTCTTCAAAGCGTCTTCTATGGAAATGGAATATATGGAGATAACGAAAAGTATTCAAAATTCCATTAAACAATACAAATTTCGGAGCAGAGCAAACACGGACCTCAAAAACATCAGAGGTGGAATCCGGTGCCATGGAGGAGTGAGCATCCCCTGCTGACCGGTCACACCCGCCGTGTGCTCCTTGTCATGATCGGGAAATAACGCAAAAATCCATCGACAATTCAATGTGTAAATACTGGCCTAACAATAAGTATGAAAACGTCAGTCAGCATTTGACTTCATGATAAATTGTATTTGCTGACAAGGTCATTGTATCGACTATGGAACTTACGAAATGACGACTTTAAACGTGACTGCTGATTTTCTTATTTCATCAACTTGTTTATCAATAATTTACCTCGTTTTAGAAATTGTTCATACGTAGAGCATGCGTATCGAGTCAACTGAGAGATATAAACCCCGTATGCAAGTGATGAAGGTAAATGTTGTATATTGCTATATAGGTAAGAGAATTTATTAAAAAAAGTTAAAGTTATTAGTTTATCATAAAGCTTTTTTAAAATACCATTAACATCTTTTTCTAGTAAAATATCTGAATATGAAACAGATGTGTCAGACTCTGTGGTATCATTTATTTCAAGCTCACCGGGATCGTATCGAAATAAGAATGGAAATAACCACTGTTAATTGACAATACGTCGTCGATATATCTAAATGTCGAGTCGAAGGCCACTGCCATGTTTTCTTCTTTTCAAGTATAAGATGTTGAACAAATTCTGCTTCATATGAATACAAAGATAGGTCTGCTTATAAGGGGCACAATTGGTACTCATAGAAATTCCAATAGATTGTTGGAAGACCTTGTCTTTTTCTGTGACCTTCATTTTAACACCAATATATATTGCCGTCCGTTTATCAATTAAGAACATTCAATTCCATTCCTAAGCTGATTCGATACATCACATTGAACTAGAAATAAAAGACATCACAGAGTTTGACACATCATAGTCATTGTATCGATCACAGAATATGCAAAATGTAGACTTTAATTTAGAATCCAAATCAAAATTAAAACCGACCTCGCAATACAATATTATGATTTGAACGCATTTTAAAGCTTCGAGAAGTCTTAACATAGCTGTGATCGCGTATGACACTCAATCTATTTGTAAAAGATAAGTTCCAACATTAAGTTTTTAAAATAAAATGTTGCAAATTGTTTATGAATTCTTTCTGTTGCATTATTTATACTTAAATGTCTAGAACGCAAAGAACTCAGGAAGTTTAGAAAGAAAAAAGTTTCATTTTCTTTTCATTGCATTTACATATAACTGATATTTAACAACACATAACAACAAAATGTACAAATGTTTGTGTTATATCAATATCGTTTTCGTTACCTTTAATCACATAAGATTTGTGATGCTGCATCTCTGACTAATACGTTTTCTTGTTTAAAAAGGTACTGAAATCCCGATATCTAAATTGATTCAAAAATCAGATGAAATCCCAAAGGCAATATATATATATTTTTAATTTCAGCTTACTTCTAAAAAGATTTCCTGTGCTACGATTTTAACAGGACAAGTGCTTTATTTGATTTCTGGAAATGTAATTTCACAAGTCAATCTTACTGATCTTTATTCTCTAAAAAGTTATTCCTTATTACATATGATTAAATACGTTTCACTGAAAGATAAACACTTTGATAATTAATTATTGATTTCCTCTTTATTCTCCAAACGTTTTACAATATGAATCACTTCACTGCTAGTTCATCCTAGAAGAAATTAATGCTAGATTGTATTTTGTCCCAAACTGAAAAAAAAGTAAAATATGTACTTTCTTTTCGGATTTGAGGCTTGTTGTTTTACAAGCATTCATTTTTATAGAGAGAAAATAGAGAAAAATGCGGATTATGAAATATTCAAATTATTTATATTTATCACATTAACATTAAGCTCACTTACTGTTTGGACAACAAATGCCGTATGACCTCCAAGGGACAAACAAGCAAAATGATCTTCCTGGACATTGATGGTGATATTGACAAGCTGTCCAACTTACAGGATAAAGTCCAAATGGACATTCTCCTTGCTGGCCTTCAGAAGTGAAAGAGAAAAATAATTTTGGAAGTTTATTTGTATATAAAAGTAGCTACAAGTTCTAAAAAGAAAAACCTATAGAGGGTTAAAAAGGACTGTCTGCTTAAAATAAACAAATAGGTTATTATTCCATAGAGCAATCGGTTCCTTTTGATTTAAAACTGCAATTTAATATTTAAAAATCTTTTTTTCCATAAAACAATATCTGACTTTGAACAATAACACTAACCCTAACCCTAAAATGAATTTGAAGATTCGAAAAATGAGATAAACCTTGAAATTGATCTTGTCAAGAAGAGATGTTTTAAAGGAAACAAGGGCACCTATGAGAAATAAATGCAGAACAAAGAAATGTTCTCTTACCAAGGACACTTATAATTAATAAAACAATAAAGATAAAAAGAACAGTATGTGTATGCATATTGAAATATGCACCTTGCTGGTCATACAGTGTCCCGGGCCGTTTATATACCATTTCTTTTGATCGACAGCAAAAGTAACGTTCGTTTATATCCAAACAGAAAAACATTTCCTTGTTTTTGCAATTTGATATATCACTGTGTATTTACTACCTGCATGTGATCACGTTTTCTTTACTTCAGTGAAAATATTTTCGGCAAATGGTCTTTGTAATTAATTTTTAAAATTTAATTCACGGCATTTAAATGATTCTTGTCAAAGATAAGTGATGATCACACTATTATGGAAAAATCCCGGTCAATGTAAGTAATTTTGATTATAATTCAAACGAAAAAGTAACTTTATTGGACACTTTATCATATAATTTATCAGTAAGATCCCAAAGGCTATTGCAGTTCAGTTATGTTTAATTTTCAGAAGATGGCACCGCGATCATTGCTTTGAATAAAAATAAAATATTTTATTTAAAGACTTCTTTATTAGTAACTTATAAGGTTTCTAAACAGAAAATTAATCTGAGTTTATAAACGTGCAATATTTGCGAAATTCATGACTATTGCACCTGAACCCGCCTCTGATGTGTTTAGAGGTCCGTGTTTGCTCTGCTTCCGATTTGTATTATTTCAATTGACTTTTGAGCTTAATTACTGTTCCTTATCTCCATATTTCATTGACATGTTTCACATCATTTGTTATACCATTGTTTTCATATCTATTTTAAGCTCTGTAAGTTCGGTTACCAGTTCAATAAAGACGTCATCAATTGCCTCATTATTTCCATTCATTTAAGAGTTCTTCCAGAATAGTCAATATTTCTAGCTTTTTTTCCAGAACTCGGTTACTTAAGCTACTAATACATGTTTTCTTAGCCGGATTAAAGGGTGTGCTCACATTTTTATTCTATGTTGAATGTATCCACATTTGTTTTGAAAGTGAAAAAAAAAACTTTTATATTTTGCAACTTTCCTTTTCCTTAAGAATAAAAGCATTCATTTGAAACGAAACATAGTAAAAGTTATAAATAGGTCTATAGACAGGGCCATTAAACGTATATTGTATTCTTTAATTTATGTGCTGATTATACAGTGTTTGAGTCAGTTGCAATGATGCTTTTTGTTCTCGCCTTAAAAAAACCGAAACAAATCCAAAACCAAAAAAAAAAAAAAAAAAAAAAAAAAAGAACAACAAATACAAACAAACAAACAAAAACAGTACCTAACAAAAGAAATTACGAAGATATCAAATTAATCATGGAAACTTATCAAAATTATTACATGAATAAATGAAGCAAGTACAAAATATGCTTACAATGTAAGACATTTTGAAGAAATACATGTACTTTCTCCGCATTTCTATAGCCGTGAAGCTACATTTACCATAAAGCTTCGTGAAGAACAGGCAGATAAGGCGAATAAATACTAAAAAACAATCAATTATTGTATTAAGTACATGTACATATGCATGTATTCAGAAAGAATTTCTCAACATCAGGGTGAAATTATGACAATGTTTTCCTGCGAAACATAACTGGTTAAACTGGCCTTTTCTTTGTGATTGAACTCAAGCAACAAATATGCTGGTTTTATACATTAATGGGGTAACTCATCTTAACTGAACCACATGAAAAATGGCGCTACTTTTTACTCTTCTTATCAAGATCCATCTGCATATGTACAAGAGCATGCTTTAAAATAATTTTTAACCGTGACGGGCTTTTAATAAACTAAATGTTTGCTCTGCTCCTGATTTGCATTGTTTACATGGACTTTTGACCTTAAATACTGTTTCTTATCTCCATATATTTCCTGATGTTATATTGATTGATCGATTGTATGTTGTTTTATGTCCCATTCGAGAATTTTTCACTCATATAGAGACGTAACCATATACTGGTGAAGGGCTTCAAATTTTGACCTTTACTCGGCACTCAGGCCCATTGAACAGTGAGGGATCTTTATCGTGCCAACGCCTGCCGTGACACGGGGCCTCGGTTTTTAAGGTCTCATCCGAAGGACCCGCAACTTTCACTCTAAAGTGCCGAGCGCATGGCGCAGGAACCGTTGCTACCCATTTTTTATCGACTTAGGTCAGTCGCCGACGAGATTTGAAAAGACAACCTCCCGATCACGGAGCGAGCGCTCTACCGAAAGGTCTGATGTTATATTATTTCAATTATTTTGTTAAAAATTAGCATTTTGCAAATTTATATAATGACTTCCTTTGCAAACTTACCGATCAATATAGCTCGTAATTTGACTAAAATGTTTCGTACCAATTTTTTGGCCATTGTTTTGATGCTTATAATAGTGGAGTGTGCTGATATTTTGACTGCGAATTACTCTGCTTACCTGATCAATACGGAGGTCTCAGGTTGACAGGGGATGCTTGCTCCATGTAGGCACCTAATCCCAAGTCTGACGTTTCAAGGAATCAGTGTATCTTGTCCTATTCACAATTTGTATTGTTTAAAAGATTACTTCATGTAAAATTTCACCAATTTCCATAAGTCTCATTAGCTATAGTGTCGAAGTTATCTGACTGTGTATGTTACAGCATCTGTGCAATATCCGCACAAAACAGGCTGGAGATGTAATTTCTATATGTTATGAAAAAAACCATTCAGACGAATTAATGGGGTTTTTCTTTATTTATTTTTTTCTCAAAGGATGTCTTCAAAGTATAGGATAAACATATTTTTTTGGTCAACAACCTATGGGTAAAGGACCTAATATACCAAAAACCTAACGTTTATGACACAGCATTTCTATCTGTTCTATTCTGTTAATTTAAGTGTTCCAACATCTTGACTATCGAGTCTAGACTACAATTATAAAGATTTTGCACAGTCGAACCCTTCAAAATTATTGATTTCACTAGCTACTATTAATAATTTGTATCTGTTTAATTTCAAACGTTTTTCCTCTCTCGTTTGATCGATTCTTAACACTGCCATCTCTTGTGATGCAGATCACAGATACAGAACAAATCTGACGTCAATTCTTAAAAGGGCCGCTTGACATTTCAAAAAGAAAACATTATGAAAAATGGTTTCCGTCAAGAATGACAGCTCAAACTTGACGTCACAGCCTATGAAACTTTTTAAAGAATAAATAGGGGCGAGAAATCAAGGAATATATATATATATATATATATATATATATATATATATATATATATATAAATCCAGAAAATTCAATGTTTTGTAGTGGGATATGAAATTTATTTCACTCGTGAAACAGGATTTTTTTTTTTTTGCTTCGCACTCATAAAAATAAAAGATACTGACCACGCAGACCTTTTTTCTGCTTGAGATTATATTTTCCTATGAAGGAGGTCACACACTTTCTGTGGGAATTTGTCACAGCGTACTTAAAATGCAAAGATAACTATCAAGAAATCCGCTTACTTATATCACCTTCGATTGAACAGAACGTGTGATTCCGAAGAAATTATGACCCCATGGAAAAATGTACGTCTACATTACATAGTTTATTTAGAATAAATTACAAGTTTATGCAAAATTAATTTCGTTAGCAGGATCAATTCAAGCAATTACTATAATACAAATAATAATTATCAATTTTATGATAAAAACTAACATTCTACTGCATTTTCTGGAATGAATGTTGAATCGCTAAAATAATCCGTAGACATGATGACAAAATAAATGATAATAAATCTTTATATTGGAGATGCTTTATTAAGCTATATTAGTTCTTGGCCTTTTCACCATGCAGTGTTGAACCGTTATGTTTTGTGACGTAATTATTAAATCTTAGATTTATTGATTTTGACACACAACACTTCTCGGGTACTAATAAGATTTTCAATTGGTAGATAAAAAGTATTTTCTGTGCATGATATGATACTTTATGTAGTGTACATATGAAGTTTCAGATTATAAATCGATTTGATTTAAAAAAAACCCTGATCGTTGTTGTAAATTACCATTTATCTTAGATGTTTTGATATCTACAAAGATATTTAATCGATTCCGTGTGGGAAAAATTTATGGAAAGCATACCGGTATTTTACAATTTTATGACAAGAAGAAATTCATACTCAATATTCTTGCCGCTTACCCTTACAAATTGAAAAAAAAAATACTTGAAGACTGCAATTCCGGGAGAGATAAGTCATCACAGAGGGCTTCAGCACGATATCTAGACATAACAGAGCAGTATAGACAAATAATGAACTCCGTCACATTTTCTCATAGAGACTTACATGTACATGCATTTCTTGAACTGTTTTATTCTAAGAAAAAAGAAATTAAAAAAAAATGTTTGTGCTTTTAATAAGAGAACGTTCCAAGTTGGTATCAAACATCAAATTAAAACCACATAACCTAAAAAAACATAAAAAATAACATCTTGAAGTTAAAAGCTTTATTTTGTGTTTGTAAAACTCCATTTTACACAAAAAGACGTCTGCTTGCCCATTGTTGTCACTACCACCCTATTAATAGAAAAAAAAGTTAATCAATATAAAATATAGACCTATATTTCTCAGAGCAGGACTATAATAATAATAAATAAATAAAACATTTAGTTCCTTACATCAAAAAGCTCATGGACTGTATTTGTAAAGCAATGATTTTAACACATTTATTCAGCATGATTTTTTTTTCTCTACAGAATAAATTATAAGGCATTTTTTTAAAATATAAATTGTCGGTTTCAGCAATCAATGGTACGTGCATGTACATGTATGACCACGAGGCGCAACCTCAAAATATGACGTATTCTTACCTTGAGCCTAACGGAGACAAATCGTTATATATGAGTATTTGTCACAAAATATTCAATTTGATTCAGTATGATTATGCTTTGATATCATTATGATGATAAATAATTGTTCCATAAACTTCGTAATTTTAACCTTATTTTGTCAGTTCTGTGAGGAGTCACATAAATGCAATAGAGATTTTTTTTTTAAATAAAGTGTTGAAAGATAACGGAAAAAGGGAATCTATTTTTTTTTTTTTTTTTTTTTTTGCCACAGTGTACAGTTCCACCTTGGAAAACTCACATAGACTTTGGAAATATTTGAACAGACCGGAAAGAGACAAAATCAGTCCAGATTTCACATACCTGCTTTTAAATGGCACAAAGTAACGTTGCTCGCGTGAACTCCAACATGTGGAGTAAGTAAGCAATGTCAACTGAGGATTTTTGTCTTCAGTATTGGTCCATTTTCAATATAGTTTTGAAATCAGCTGTTCATGAAATTTTTAACTCATAGCTATAAACAAGATCAGCCAGTTTTCAAATCATGGTTTTTCATAAAAAAAGAGTATTGAGGCAGAGAAAGGGGGCATTGGGAAACAATGACGTTGTCGAACAATAGCTCATTCTTAACGGCGACAGGGCTGGCTGATTATTTAATTTTTTTTTATTTGCATTATGTGATAAAATTGCAAAATATCAAATTGTCAAACCAAATTGTTGAACACTCTTCCATTTCTTTTTTCCTTATACATGTAAATATTATAAGTAAATCCCTCGAAGTATTAATTTTGTCACATCAGTCCGCACACTTTTTTATAACCCCTTGTTCAACTTACAATATGGACAACATATCCCATATGTTCTTGTTGGTGTGAACCAACAAAATGATCGAGGAGGGCATGCGCTGTGCTCATAACAAGCCGTCCTGCTCACTTGAAAAAATCCCATTGGACAGTCACCTCTCTGACCTGTAAGGCAAAATTGAAAAAAGAAACATATTTTATGTGTCATGTACACAGATTGGATGGATTTCAAACAAATTCAATGTTCAAAATTTTGTCAAGGATATGAAGAGGATGACGACGCGAACTCAGATGTTTTTTTTCGAAGTTTGTTCGACACGTTACAGCATATACATGCATCAAGAAAATTTTTAAAGTCAAGATTTTGTGCAACCTCTGGTTGTTATAATGATCTCCTTTGCCAAATGAATACTATTTGTCTTTTTGGTCTTTAATTGAATGATGACATTGCAAAAAAAAAAAAAAAAAAAAAAAAAAAAAAAAAAAAAATGGGTCATTTACACAGATTTGATGGATTTCAAAACAAATTCAATGTTCTAAATTTTGCCAAGGATATGAAGGGGATGTTAATTTCTTCAAATTGAATCGAAACGCAAGGGCATATACCAATACGATCGTTTAAAGTCAACATTTTGTTCATCCTTTGGTTGTTATAATGATCTCCTTTGCCAAAGGAATACAATTTTATCGTTTTGGTCTTTTGTTCGAATGATGACTGATGATGAATGATGAATGATTTGTCTACTGATTATCCGTTCACCCTTACAAGACAATAAGCTGACTGCTGATGTGACAGATAAATAGAAGACGCTTCCATTCCAAAGCACTTTATCCAGCATCTTGTGTATTCAGAGGTCCGTGTTAGCCCTGATTTCATTTTTATGTACGTGTATATTCTTTTATGTTGAGTTCGCGATCGGTCACTGTTTGCTTTCTTTATATTTCAGGTAAATAATTACACACTGCCATCTTTCTAACACCCAGACGACTTAATTTACTTATCATATGTAGTGTTTCATACAAGTATATTTTTCTTTTTGAATTGAGTCTAACGTTGTTTAGTTTTCCAGAAAAAAATACATAAAAGGAAAAAAAAGCATATTTAAACACTTCTAGATTTAGCCATAATTTCTGGGTTTTTTTTCTTTTTAAAAGGGGTGAAAATTTTCGTAAAGTTGTGTATTGTTGCACATTTAGTTTATGCTTAAAAGTACCATTGAACATCATAATACTATGGTCTTAAGATAACGTTTTAAATGATTTAAAATTTTCAAAGAATATAACAGAGATTTTAAGGCATAAAGAAATGTTAACAATATTGACAGATACAATGCTGATATCTTTCCTTCACATATGACCAGGTCGAAAAAAGACGATTATTTTTCTAAAACCTGACCAGTCAATCAATTTTATCTTCTTAATGTACCGTAAGAATTGAATAATAACTTAAAGATGTCTTTGTTTTTATCATAACTCACCTGTATGCGTAAAACAAGACTTAATACTACCATAGGAACTTACCAAAAAGGCAACTTTAACTACTTAACTAAAATTAAAAAAAAATACTGATAGGACAAAATTTTTACTCACCATCAGAACTGACCACTAAGAAAAGAAATACGATAAAGAATATCATCTTAATCGTCATTTTAAATACGCCACAGGAATACAGGTCGTCTGGACCTTTTATTCATTTGTCTTTTAAGTAAATTAATAAATCATTCAGTTTAGACAGAATTACATTGCAGATTTTTCTTAGGACAAGTTCCTTGTTTACTCTAGAAAAAAGACCATTGCATAACTTTCAGTGCTTTATGTCACGTTCATATAGGCTAAAAATAATAAACATTTTATATAATAACATGTGGTATATTGTGCATGGGTTTCATAAATATGTTAAGGATATTCATAAGGTGTGGTGACAGCTATTTTTTTAAAAGAGAATTTTATTTGATAAAATAGGTACGCAAATATCGAAACAACATGCATTACATAAGTATATTAGTAGAAAAAGATTTAAGGATTATTTCATGAATACACAAACGTGACATCTTTTCTCCTTATACTGTAAACCACCAACGTTCACAACACTCTATTTTCGATAGATTGTTCTTTGTTATTTATAAGCGAGACTTATTTTGATTTTCTATTCTAAATAATCTTTACTATTAGAATAAGGCATGAAAATGGAAATATACGGTGTCGAGTCATTACGCGAAAAATTAAACTCTTACGAATTAAAAGTAAACAGTTCTATTAATTTCTGTAAGCAGTGTGGTGACTATTCCCAATCCATATTTTGATTTTGAACTAATGACTTAATTAAACAAATAATACTTTGTAAACTAATTTATCTTTCTCCCATGAAATCTGTGTATTGTGTATGCCAAATATTTGCTCTTTCTAAAAAAAAACTATATAACCCTTATCACAATAAGTATTCTCATACATCAAATATAGCTTAAGACATTCGATTATTCTTTCGCGAAAATTAAATATCTCTATTATATAATAAAAACAGAATGTTAATAGCGATTCTCTGTAACCACTTAAACTTCTTTGCCACGCATGGTCACCGATTTTGATAAAACTTTGCCCATTATTACAACTTGACACCAGAAACATATATTAAATAAAATTTCGTTGCTATGTGTCTTGGTTGCCATGGTAACAGCCAGAAAAGTTGAAAAAATTGAGATTTTCAGCTACTTTGAATCTTTATTAAGCCTTAATAAAGAATAGGAATAAAAAAAACCATTCTCCCCAAAACCTGACACCTTGTTGCCACTTATGCTATAAAGAAACTATTTAGAATTTATCTCTAAGTAAGTGGTAACCATGGGTACATTTGGAACACATTTTAGATGCTGAAAAATGGAGAAAAACGCTCAGTATTTACTAATGATAGATGTTAAATGATCAAACTCAATCAACAACCTAAGAAAAAACAATAAAAAATATTTGACCTTAAGTAATTAGGTATTGGCAATATTATTCTAAAAATAACTTTCATGGTTGCCATGGTAACACAGTGTTACCATCCAAAATGTGTTGCTAAGATTGGGTTAATCCTACTATCTTCAGGAAAAACAATAAATTTCATGACTGGCACATATATATCCTTAAGACCTTGCAACACCGACAACATAAGAAAAATTGGGATTAATTGTTACTTTGCAGTGTAACCATGGAAACAATGTACCAGTTGTTTAAAGTGATATTTTTTTGCTGCCTTAGGAATTTACTTACCTTTTATTCAAGAAACATATTATTTGACTCACCTTGAATAGTACTTATCTGGTAAAACTAAAGTTGAATATTATATATTGATAACGTTTGTTGAAAAATACAACACTGTTGCTATGGTAACCAAGAAGGGAAAATGTTCGATTTTGTTAATTTTATATCAATATTAAACCCTATGTGCCAGCTTTTTGCATCCAGTTAGAGATTGGGTGGCAGTCAAAATTGAAAGTCAGGTTAGTTGTTCATAATTACCAATCATAAAAGTTTTGGGAATCTACATACAAGGGTACGTATCCAAGGAAACAGAATATTTTTCAGATTTTTATGCATATTTTTTCGGCTTATTTCCATAGCAACGCTCTATTTAAAGAATTGAATTTGCATTTTTTGAAATGTGAGAATTAGGGTCACATGAACATCTTTAAAAATTGATCATTAGTTATATAGAAATATGCTTTTTAAAAAGATAGGATTAGATTTAATCACTAAGAGAGTAAATTTAAAATCCCCTCTTGGTATTAAAACCATGGCAACCATTGCCAACCTATAAGAAATATCATATTTCTTCCATGGTAAATGTTACAAGGATCTTTTGTCTATTATTTGCTTGTATTTCAACCTATAATTTTTTTTTTTATTCTTAAGTGTATGATGTTATAAAATTAAATGAGCAAAAGTATTACTTTTGAATACTTTGTTTCCATAGTAACGTATGTAATAGTTGATTTACCAAACATGTTTATCATGTATTTAAAACATCAGCCCTTCAACTTTCAGAAACAATCATTACCACTTGTTTGCTTTGCTGCAAACGTTAACTGTGGGACTCTGAACATGTTGAAAAATGCCATTTTTCAAACTTTAGGACATGTTGCCATGGTAACCATGTCACGTAGCAACCAATTTCTGCCTGATTTGAGTTTACGGTATCAAAGACTTTTATCATAGAGAGTTTGGAGAAATTCTGAGACTATGCCTGCCACAGCTTCTATATAAAAGTTCAAGTCGTTACAGAGAATGCCTCTTAAAAATCAGATTGTTCTTCTTTAAAAAAATTAAGCAAATGTTTTAGAAATGTTTTAATGGAAATCTGAAATGGAAATTCATTTTTTTTTTTTTTTTTTTTTTTTTTTTTTTTAGCTCTATGATGATATCTAATGTAGACGTGAAGTGTTGTCTTTTACTCATTACATTGCGATCTTTTATACTGTTATATCACAAATTTTTGTTGGGTAAAATTTTCGTGGTTTTATGAGAAATTGACTGGTTCATAGGGATTAGACTTCGTGACTGAAGAAGTGTAAAGATGTTATGTATTAGTACAGTTCTGTGTAAAAATCATGCAAAGGGTGATATATGAGGGTTCTCAGAATTTGATGATTTTCGACACATAGTTTTCTTTTGCCCTAAGAACCATGTATGCAGAAGGAAAAATGTTTTGATTCACGGTTACCATGGAAACATGGTTAAAGATTTATTTTTCCTTAGCAACCAGCCAATTTTCAGCTTCGATGGACTAAAAAATCTCTTATCTTTCAGGCTCAAATTAAATGTGAAAACTAAAAAAATTTCTTTTCATTGCTGTTATTCTCAAGTTAATGACCTTAACAGTTTTCACAATCAAAAATATAGAAATAAGATTTAAAGATATATCTGTGATAGATGTGGGAATATATGCATGTTTTCCTTTTTTGCTGACTCAGCATTTTCCTTGATTTTGGACTTATTCAATGTCTAATTACTCCAGTGATGGACCTCATACAGACATCCTGTGTATATAACATAAAAGCAGAGGATTTTGTCTTTTAGAATTTGAATTCAGAAGCGTATAATTTTTAAACATTCCTGTCCGTTGCCTAGCAACAAAAATGGATGTTTTGATGAATAAAAAAAATGTAAAATGCTAAAGTCATAAATCACATAACTTGTTATCTTTGAATACTCAAAACAAGTTTTACAATAAATTGAAATTTTTGAAACCTCTCTGCAAACTATGGAATGTTTTACATTTTGTAATCTCCATGGTAACAGCAATTTCCCCTTTGCAACACATCATAGAATAATGATTTTAGCATGTTCACGTACCTGCTGTTAAGGATTCTTCAAAGCATGCCGTAAAATTGTGATTAGGCAAATTTTACAATGCAATTAGTATCTTACAAAATTTATTTTCACTTGATTTTCCCATGGCAACGATTCTGAGCACATAGCAACCAATGTAACCTATGTAGAGTTAAGAGTCATTCTCTGTAGGAATTTCAATTGTTTTGATACTCAGAATCAAGATTACAGAACATTGTTATGTAAAATCATTGCTGGTACAAAATATACATAAATATATGCATTTGCAATCAAGATTTAAAAATTCAAACTAAGAATGTTACCATGGTAACGGGTATAAACAATAATGTTTATATTATTTCAGCTTTATTTCTTCATTTTCATTCAGAGCTTTCTTAATTTATTTTTTAAAAAAAGAAATATACAAGCACGGTTTTTTATGTTTTGAAAAAAAATATTAATGCACTTCTTTAATTTTTATTTCATGAATGAAATAAATTCATTTTTTTTTTAATTTAAAGTATCTTATAAAATGAATTTTCGCATTTAAATTTTCCGTACATTTTTGCTATTCTTGTACCAGAAAATTGAATCTGATGTGGGATTTCTGTGGGGCAAATCCCACTCTAGAGTCAGTTTTCCGGGGGGGGGGGATTTTATTAAGGATTCTCCAAAGCATGCTGTGATTAGACAAATTTTACAAAGCAATTAGCATCTTATTAAGGTTTTATTTTTTACTTGATTAACCCATGGCAACGATTTTGTGAAAATAACAACCAATGTAATGTATGAAGAGTTGAGAGTCATACTCTTAAGCACTTCAACAGTTTTGTTACACAGAATCAAGATTACGGAACATTGACAATTAAAATGATTGCTGGTAGAAAATATATATAAACGTTATACATTCTGCAATCAAGTCTTAAAATCAAAACTAAGAAGGGAATCTGGTGTTAATATTTTTGCATATATAACTTCTGCCTGTAATGCGCCATTTGATTCGTTAAATTTTACTTTAAATCATAAAACCTATGTTGCATTCGTACAATGTGACCAATATTGAAAAATCTGTCAATCATCTAGACGTTGCTATTAAAAATTATACATTTTAACCTTAATTGTGATGACGGGGAATCATTTTTGATTTCATTCTTTTCTCCCTTAAAAATATATGTTTTGTTAGAATACACTAGTTTGCGACAGTTTGGTTGAATTTGACCAACAGGTTTTGTAGAAAAAAGTTGAAAAAATAAGAAATGAACAACGGGCAGACGGACAGATAGACAGAAGACAGATGATCAGAAAAGCTCACTTTGTCATCTTTCCTTATTTTTGTAGTAATGTTCCAGTATCACTTGCTTATGGTGTTTTTTTTTTGGTACTCAAGAGCTTGCTCTGAGTACGATCAGTTTTAAAGCGAGGCATGCTACTCACT